CGAGCATCGAATTGAGCTCAAAACTAATGATTTTGCTTTAACTTTACAAACTATATCATTGTAAACATTTAAATTGATGCTGAGACTATAATTGTTTTAAGATTCATAGACTTTTCGAGTATTTTTGGCGTGTATCAAGTCGCGTGGCAGTATTACGTAACATATCTTTGAACGCTAATAACTCAACGAATAAACAGCCAAAAAAGTTTAAACATTCAGAGCGAACTTCTATCATGCTCTTCAAGATATTTCATTACCACAATGTTGTGTGTCTGTGATTTTAGAATTTTGTTTCGACTGATGACGTCACGTGAAAGTCGAGAATAGAGACATTATAAACGTACGACAAAATTGACTGATTATAGGGAATATCGGAATGCATTTTAGCATTTCTTTTTTCTTTCTTTCTTTTTTTTTGAACTTTATAATTTTGAACTAGCATTTTCTATTATTTCTATTATAGTATTTCTATTATAGTTATAATGTATTGATGCAAATTGCGGGAGCTTAATTATATAGTGCCGCTATGCAAATGCCCTCAAAACAACGACTTCGCAAATCATAATTAATAAATAGAAAAAATACATTCAAAACAGCAAGAATTGATCTCGATGATTTAAGAATGCCGTACAATCGATCCTAAAAAAGTCATTTGAGTGTTTTATCATCATTAAATGATATTTTAACAGGCTATGGACCTTTCAATAAATACGGATAAAAAAATGTCTGATATGGTGATTGGGGTGGAAACTAGCGGTGAACTAGTGTGAGCTGCGTCGGTGTTTCTAAAGAAACAGTTGTGTAAAAAGCTAAATTTAACACCGTAAAATAGAAGGTGAAACAACTTACTGACGTTTCGCACGTTAATCCTTTAACGTCCGAAACTTCAGTAAAAAACACCTACTTTTTTAAATTGCTAAATTTATCTATTTACATTATAATATCGTGATTTCCCGCCTGTGCACAATGCCAAACGTAAAAAATTCAGAAATATAAGCTCTTTGCTTTCTATCTACAAATTTTCAAAAGAGAGAACCTTTTTTATGCATCGCTCAGTTTCTATGATGTTTACGGATTCGACACGTAATTCTTATGAGTTATGACGTTAGTCTGAGCTTGAGCTAACCAATCAGAAACAGAGTTAACTCAAAGAGTAAAATGACGTTAGCCTTCTCCCAAGCTCCACTGCGAAGAAACCAAAACAAAGGGAAACGTATGGAAAATATACAGCTATTGCAAAAACGTTGTCAGGGATAATATGGCGAAAGGCGATTGACGAAGGGAGATTGCACGACCGAAAGGGACTATGCTTACACTGTTTTCACCAATTGAATTTACCTTATAAAGAAATGGAACCAATATTTACTGCTATAGTACAAATCTGTTGTTATTGCCTTTAAACTAGCAAAACCCATGGCTACTTTCGGTCGTGCTATCGCCGTTCGACCACTGACATTCGACACTTAATCCGAAAATCTTTTGAAATAGCTATATAAAGAGGATATATTTGGGAAATAGCAGTATTCAAATAAAAACTGCAGTTCTTTAGAAATTGAATTATATTAAATCATTTTAGGTCAAAAATGGTGGGAGCAGCCGCAATACTCACTGACTATAAACATGAAATTCTGCCAAACAAAGAGCGACGGAAAGCATCCCAACCCAAAAGACTGTTCAAAATACTATACCTGCAGTAATGGAATTACGACTCCTGAACGTTGTGCTAGTGGATTACATTACATTCCTATCTATGAAGCATGCCAAGCACCAGTAGATGGCTATTGCATAGGTAAATAACGGAATTTGAATGATTTCATATTTGTGAATGGTAACATTATACGGTAACCGTTATAAACTCTCTATTTTCAGAGGGTAGAACATATTAGTCTCTATACTACAATCGTTGACAAAATGTTTGGAAACACCCGCAGACAAATTCATCCCATCTAACCCCCTAAATGCAATGTTGTCATTGAGCATGTTACCATAGTACACAATCATCCAAAACAAGACCCAACATTGACGAAGAAGGGGGCTGAGCGGGAGAACTGTGAAAAAATAAAAGAAAAAAATTTTAGGCTGGAGACAAATAATTCTATGATCCAAGAAGTTTTTTTGGCAACGATTTTAGTAAACTTGTGGCCTTYCATATATTCACTCACACTCACTATTTCAACATTCATTCAGCTTTACTGCACGACATTCCTCACAGCTAGTTTTTGACGGAGGGAGGGAACCAGCCTACATAGTAACGGMTTGGGAATCGAACCAGTACCACAGGAGGTGGTAGGCCAGCATTACCACTGTGCATGCCACCCATGCTCCTCTAAACATTAGAGTCCTAGACTTTTATTAATGCAGCTCCATGTAGTTTCAGTATTGAAATAAGAAATCCCACGAAAATCATCAAGTTAAGTGATTTTATATCCTGCAGTAGGCCAGACAGTTATGTTTGATATCATTAAGTACTTTATTTACTCTTCAGGTGGTAAACCATCGATTCCAACGCCAGGACCACCGGTGTTTGGTAAGTAGCAATACAATTACATCGAAACCGCAATATCAATGACCTCTTATTGGCAAACTCTACTTTAATAAACAATCAGGTTGCGAGAATAGTCGTCTTCACGGTTCCCTGCGCCATCTTGAAAGGTAGCCGTGCCTTTTCACATAAATAATAATCCAGTTTCGAATTCTCCAATGCTCTGTGTTAGCCTCATTTGTGCGCAAAATATTCSTAAYTGTKAGAATAAAAGTGTGAGATTTCATATCAATTCTATTGTCTTTCTTTTCAAATTCCATGCGTTTTCACAGGCTATCAATGAAACAAAAGAATACGTTACTTGGTTTTGAGGCTAACACAGAGCAAACCAGAACTCGAAATTGGAGTATTGTCTGTATGTGTGAAAGAAGGTTTCTATCATTGTATGATGAACGGTTGTCTCGCTTCAATGCAAAGGCACGTCCACTTTTCAAGATGGCGCCACAGGAGCCGTAAAGGAGACTATAAGCTCGTGAAAATTCTCTCAATTTGTGGTAAAAATTTCTGACTTTTTAAATGTTTTGATATCTTTTTTGAAAGTTCCAAGCTGTCATCGAACTTTGTTCTTCCGAACAAATCCAGAATCTGGCAAAGCCCTTCTGAACCACATCATAGCAAACTTGACGATCACGAAGAAGTCCGACTGTCGCTCGAATTGTTTCGTAAACAACGACTGCGTGTCGTACAACGTCGGGGAATCTTCGCCAGGCGCCGGCGGGATAGTATGTCAATTGAACGACGCCGATCGCTTCCAGAATCCGCAGGACTTTAAAAATGTATCTGGATTTTGCTATCAGGGAATAAAAGTAAGTTGCTATTGCTGAATCAGGGTACTGAGATTGTTAAAAATTAAACCACGAGGTTTAGACTATACTAACAGGTGCACTCGACCAAGGATCTCATTCTTTAAGTATCCATTAAAAACACGTTCGTTCTTATTCTACATATCAAACAATTGCCTCAGAGAAAAATTCATTCGTTTGCCAAACTTTTTCTGACCATATATGGTAATCTTACCTTATAAGGAAGTACGTTAGAAAGTTTTTTTCAAGTTTTTTCCACCTTTTAGTGCTTTAAAATGGCTAAAACTTACAGAATTTGCAGAGAAATCGCTTTTCAACATGTTGGCCATTATAATTTTGTCCTAGTCCCCCCCCATCCTTGAAAATAAGGAATCCCAAAAAGATACAGGTAGCCCGCGCCAATGTTAGGCAATTGTTTGATGTGTGTTTTTTTTTTCATGTTTTTTGTATAAAAAGAGTGCCTGTCACCCTAATGCTTGCCACGAGAATGCCAAATGCCAGCATGGTTTTGGTGAGAAAAATTACCGATGTATTTGTCCGCCTGGAATACAAGGAGATGAATGTCGGGAAGGTAAGTGAACTGAGCTATATTAGACGTAGGATTATTTGGTTAACATATTTTCGGACAGTTCAACACAGTTCAATGTGAATCCGAATTTTTCAATTAATTACCTTCGGCACAGTCTTTAAACCCCAAAACAAAGATGTAGGCCCCAGACTTCAGAGCTTCAACAGAGACTGTTCTCGCAGAGTAGCATTGGATTTTAAGCTCGATAATTCTAGGACTTTTGCATGAAACGTTCACATGATAGTTAATCCGCCATTCTAAGGTCAAAAGAATGTAAACGACCCCCCCMAAAAAAAGAACGCAGCCCGTCAAGCTTGACTTTTCTTTGTTTTGAACATCCAAGTGGGAATTTTGCACTCCAGAATGGCGAATTTAGCACCTTGTGACCGTTACATGAACAAAGGCTATAACAATAGTCTTGCCGTATCCTTTTTGGTTCTTACAGATATTGATGAATGTAAAACCAAAAAGCATAACTGCAGTGCTACTGGAGGTCAATGCAATAATAACTATGGATCGTTCAACTGTTCTTGTCAGGATGGTTTTCTTGGAGATGGGTATATCTGCAATGGTACGTAGATAATGTATTCCCAGACTGAAATGCATTGCTGGTCGTTCTATCGGCGTTGAACAGGAGACTTCGTGGTTTCAGATTGACTATACCGTCTTTGCACGATCAAAAAATTCCGTGGAAGGCAATAGTCTTCTTCACGGTTCCCTTCACCATCTTGAAAGGTAGCCGTGCCTTTGCATCGAAGCGAGACGACCGTTCAGCGTGCAATGATAGAAACCTTCTTTCACACCTACAGACAATTATTCATCATGGCACGCTCAACGGTTTTCTCTCTTAGATGCAAAGGTTTGGATACATTTAAAAATGGCGCAGGGAACCGTGAAGGAGACTATAAAGAATTGTCATTTTGGATATCAGCTAAACGTGGAGTTTCATTGCAACAATGCATTGCAGTCCTCGAATGCCCTATGCAGTATTCAGTTTAAAGGAGTCGCGATCACGTGTCTCTCTTATATGTACATGCTTTACGCCGACAGGAAAACAGGAAGGTCAAACAGTTTTCTAATGGGATTTAGCAATTTGACCACTGAAATAATTAGTAGTTATCGACATATCAAACAATTGCTTCAGAGAAAATTTCATTCGTTTGCCAAACTTTTGCTGACCATCTATGGTAATCTTATCTTATAAGGAAGTACGTTAGAAAGTTCTTCAAGTTCTTCAAGTTTTTTCTACATTTCAGTGCTTTAAAATGGCTAAAACTTAAAGAATTTGCAGAGAAATTGCATTTCAACATGTCGGCTTTTATAATTTTGTCCTAGTTCCCTCCCATCCTTGAAAATAAGGAATCCCACAAAAGACAMAGGTAGCCCGCGCGAATGTCAGGCAATTGTTTGATATGGATTTGAGCCTTCAAACAATTGTTAAAAATTATAGGCTTCGACACATATTTTAGTTATTTCTTAACTCTATTAAGCAAGAATCATAATGTCAAATATTGTCCATGTTTTTATGTTCAGATATAGATGAGTGCAGGACTATTGGATGCCATAAAGAAGCTACTTGTCAAAATGCTCCTGGTACGTTCAATTGCTCCTGTAATCCAGGATTTACAGGAGATGGCCAAAATTGCACAGGTGAAAAAAACAATTCTTTGATAATCTTTGAATTAAAAATGCATATCAATATAATAAAGTAATACTTTACTGAAACAAGCTGATGTTGAGATGAAAGTGTATTGAAAACTGCATAACTGGGAGTAACAGTTGTGTAAAAAGATAAATTTAACACCGTAAAAAATAATATGTGAAACAACTTACTGACGTTTCGGAAGTTCATCCTTCATCGGAGGTGTTAATTCAATTTACAGAAAAAAATGTACTTTTATAAAGTTTGTACATTTTATGTACATTCTGTAAATATCTTGTAAATTGTCCTCGAAGCATTGTAAATACCTTGTAAAATCAATTAACAAAGTTTGTAAAACGGCATTTTCTCTTGTAATTTTAATGATTTGAAGTAAATTTATAGACTCTGGAAATAAAACTTCCATTGAATTGATTTATGATCTCCAATTGTGTAAACCGTACAACTGCAAAACGATCAAAAATTTTGCAAGGAACTTACTATACTATGAGACAGTTTCTGCTTTTTCCAGATATTGATGAGTGCAGTTTAAAGAACGATTGTCCTACAACATTTGGCGAATTACATTGTACCAACAGTCCTGGGAGTTATAAATGCCAATGCAAGCCAGGATTCTCCTCTTTACCAAAATGTGATCAAGGTAACTAGTAACCAGTTATAATCACACAGATCTGTGTAAAGTCCCATTTACACTTGCAATTTTTGCAGCGCGATTGTTTATCACGCAGCTAAACTCGTACGTGTAAACAGCCCTGCGGTTGTTGCGGCAATGGCAAATCGCTTCGAAGTTGCAACTAAATTTCAAGCATGTTCGAAACCCAGGCGGTGGTCGCGCGACGATCGCGCTTCAAAAATCACAAGTGTAAACGGGCCTTAAGACCYTGATAACATGAGATAGTGTGCTCCTAGTTAGTAGAGCCAAACTTTTTCGTTTTAAATCCTCCAGGGAAACGAAAAAAAGAAAGCTAGTTAGGCTCTACTAACCAAGGGCTTCATATCTAAAGTAAACAGTGCCTTAAAAAAGGCAATGAAAATGACAACAAATTAATAAATTGTTTAGGACCTTGTGAAATGTTTTGAAATAATCATTGAGATGCAGAGGTCCATTACAAGGTTACATCACTCTAAATTTATGACAAAGTTCTACCAAGACAATTGTATCTAAGATACCATTGGTAGCCAACAATTACGTTTACATGCATATTTTGTGATTAAAGTTCAACTGGCATGCATATTTGAACATATTTTTCAACCTTGTACCCACAACATTCATTTTTACGCTTTGTTGCTGATCAGTTTTTCATAAATATTTATATAAAGCAAATGCAATCGTGTGAAATAATACTATAGTTGCGATTTTCTTGCCTTGAATTCTATTTAAACTCATTACTGCATCTCCTAAGATCATCTATGAATATAATTTTATACATGTGTAAGTGAATTTTCAATAGTTTCCTTCACGTTTCCCTGCGCCATCTTGAAAGGTAGCCGTGCCTTTACATCGAAGCGAGACAACCGTTGAGTGTGTAATGATAGATACCTGTGAATAATTGTCTGTAGGCGCGAAAGAAGGATTCTATCATTGCACGCTAAAGGGTCGTCTCGCTTCAATGCAAAGGCATGGCTACCTTTCATGATGGCGCAGGGAACCGTGAAGAAGACTATTTACTGTATGTATGAGGCCATTGTAGTGTCAGAATTCTTTTAAATGACTGTATATTTGACAATGTAATTTTTGTTTCCATTTTTTTTCTTTATTTTTCTTTTAGAGACTCGACGTGAGGTAGAGGCTATTTATAACGGTAGTCAAGTATGTATCGGAGCAAAAGATGACCAATATGGAGAATTTCAAATACCCGAAACAGGCATTATAATATCTTTTAAGTTAACTTATAAATCTGGTGTCGGCATTGCAACTCATTCTTCATATCCTAAGGGTTATTGGGGACCAAAAAGACAAAACGATGATGAAAAAATTTTCATCATTGTCACAGACGCCGATCGAAATATAATTGCACCTTCCGTAGAGTATGATAAGTGGACGGATAAGAGAAGCAAGGAAAGTTATACAATAGAATATGTGCACGTTAAAACACCTGTACTTGAAATGCCAGAAACTTCAATTCCAAGGCTTACTTRCAAAAAGGGCACCAAGTTTCAAATCTGGTGTGGGGAGGATTTGTCTACTCGAAGCGGTGAAAACGATAACGTTGGCGAGACTTGCATGCAGGTCGACGTTGTTTACCGTAAAGTAAACTGAAATAACAAGGCCTTATGCACCTCCTGGCGCGAAGAGAAATGATGAAACTGAAAAGAGCTTGTTCTACCGGCATTCAAAATGCGGTCGTTTTTTTTATTTTTATTTTTTTTTCATATAAAATGAGTTGACCTCAAATATCCATTCGCAATCAATTTTCATCCGTCATTTTTAATATCGAATCTTACAATATAGTTCATTCCTATAGCATAAAGAGGTAAAAAAGAGCAAGGTTTTGCTCATATTACGATGCATTTTATTATTTTCAAACATAAACTAAAGCTCGAAAGGGACGCCGGCGGTACATAGTCCTTTTTCTAGATGTGTCCTTTTTCTAAAGTGAAAGAATCACACGAAAGGCCTGGTCTCGTGGACTATTGCTCTTTACAAGGATACAGTATATTAAGTCTAGTGAAACCGAGGACATGTTGAGAAATTATTGTGAATAACTTCAAATTAATAATTAATAATTGTCATCTATCATTTTCCACTATTGTTTTTGGATTAGACTTAATTATATACCCACAATCGAAATATAGCACTCACTCACACGCACAATTCAGCTGAATTCAAATGAGAAATGTCAGTTTAGTGATTGAAGATCATGCACTTTTGTTTGGGGATCCAGAGTCAGAAAAGTTGATTATAATTTATTGTAAAAAGTTGATTAGAATTTATTGTAAATTATTCAGTTTGTAGGCAAAATGTCCTTTTACAAACTTTGTAGATTTTTACAACGACATTTACAAGATATTTACAGAATGTACATAAAATTTACAAACTCTTGTAAAAGGACYTTGCAAATGAATTTACAGTATATTTTGCATATTATTTACTAATGGCTCTGTTAACTAATAAATTTTAATTTCCAGTGACTTTGCTTGATATTCTTATTTGAATAAAAGTTTGCCYACATCGAATATGTGACTTTGATGTGTAAAATCTCTCGCAGAATATMTTTTTAGAAACTCTCCTTCTTATATCCACCTTTAGTTTAAGAAGCTTATCTTGAAGTAGGGTTAATTGAAGTGTGCTAGAGAGACTGGGAAAGAAAACTGTGAAAGACCTGCATTTAAAATTCTTATCTCGTTACGACTAAAGGGATATTCGTATATTTTTTCCTTTTGTCGTAGAGAAATTTACCTTTTYACTCATTTTTTGATAAATCAATTTMAATAAGTATACATGCTTTATAACAATTTTGTGCAAGAGGTGTATATATATGCACTTGTCCACCTCCAATTAATATAATAAAGTGTTAATTGCAAATTTTAGAGCAGCGAGAGTCCCAGCAGATGATTAATTTATAATTGAAGCAGTACTCAAACAAGATCGTGACAAASTACAATGTTCCTCGGTGTATTCTTTACGCTTTTTTGCGCGCCTCTCCTATTTGCAGTTCGCTCAAAAACAGGTAAGTTATATTTMTCTAAAAGGATAATGTCGCGTACTTATGGAAAAGCCCGATAAAAGTTTAATTATATGAACATGATAATAGGATTAACATATCAGTGAAAAACATTGACTTCAAAACCCTAAAAAATTCTTAAATTAACTTTAGATTTTGGCAAGATGCTATATTGTTCGACTGATTGAAAAGTCATAATCGATCTTAAAAAACAATTCATCTCAGTTCAAAAATGTGCCGTAAAAATCGTTACCAAATCGCAGAGCTATAAGACCATGYGACRGTAMCTTGAACTGGCTGCTGGTTGTCAGCWTCAAAGTCGTCACGGCTTCCTTTCAAGATKGCGTAGGGAACCGTGWAGAAGACTATTTACAGTTTTTCTGCTCAGTATTTGTACAAGGGGTTTCTATACTTTTAAACATCATTTAGAAAACAATGTATATTAAGAAATATTTGCTCCCGGTAATTAAATTTCATTTTTTTTTCATTCTTTTTTTAATATCATTGACGAAGATGCACATTAAACAAGAAAAAGGAAAAAAAAAATCAGTAATCTAAATTAATTTTTGTGCCGTCGCAAAACTATTTCTTTGCGTGTTAGTATTTGTTTGTTTATATTTCTATTTTTGGCTCCCGCTGTCATTCGTCAGCGGATGATRTTTAATTATAAATCAACTACATTGTAAACTATATTAATATCTAAGAATAGAACAACAGATGTTTTATATAGAACAACACTGAACTATTCCGCCACACCTGGCCGCTAGTGAACAGTTAATCCCTTAAGCTACAAGCGGGGACAAAATATATGAGACCCCRTAGCCCCTTCATATAATATTGCAAAATCTTATCTATATAGCCCCTTTCTCCCTCCTTTTCAATGTTACGTGGAARMGTGGCCATGATGCATGTCATCAAAGGGCAACACTYAMTAGTGATCTGGGTTAACAMGGTACYTTGTTGCAATAATTGTAATGAATATGTCATTGTTATTYATATCTTTTCGACCACAAGTTGTCTTGTCTTGATTTCTGTCTACCGTTGTAATTCGACTATAGTTAGGACTATCCTTTAAAGCTCGCGGTCATACTCAGAGTCTCTCTAGGATAGTTTTGAAGACTCTACCGAAATTTTCCCCAGATATTTCCTTCCAATGAGCACTACAAATCTATCGGACAAAAATATAGGTCGCATTTTTCACCATTCTTTATCATTTTGGTAAAATAAAGGATTATAAGATTAAGAGGTGGTGTTACGAGTTCTACTGACCATAAATCGTACTGTAAGAGAGGGCTAGATTGTCCTACATTCCTACGTGCGCATTGCCCTTTCATTTCAATAAATTTGATAAATGAAAATGTTATGGACCCGCGCCATTGAACCCATCACCATCTTTGCTTTTACCAATAGATGCCATCTGCAACCCAGTAGAATTCAMGTCTCACCAGTACGCAGTCAACAAGGTACTTGTAAATCACGTGATCAGATCCATAACAACCGATGGGGACACAGCTTGCAAGATAACATGTCACCTGAACCCCGATTGCATTTCGTACAATATTGGACCGACCTCATTAGGGCTGTACMTRTGTCAACTGAACAACGCTGATCATCGTCAGTATCCRTTGGATTTCAAAAACAGGGCTGGACATAGCTATAGGAAGATTAAGGTAAAAAAGTGGCTTAAAAAAATTGGAAGATGTCTACCAGGGAATAATCTTCACAATCATAGCTCTCTGCGCCTTTTTGAAAGGTAGCTCTGCAAGATGCCACGCAATGCAATGATAGATACCTAAGAATAATTGTCTGTAGGTGTGGAAGAAGGATTCTACTATTAATTTTGCAAGCTTACCGAATAGTCTCGATTCGATGTGAAGGCACGGTTACTTTTCAAGATGGCGTAGTTAAGCATGAAGAAGACTATAAGTTAAAAAGTGAAGGGTCTGTCATTTCGCATGTGCGATTTCACTAGTACTGTAATTCTGATTTTCTGTAAAAAGGTATCGTTTATTGATCTTTTCATCAGAGCAAATCTTGTGACAGCAACCCTTGCTTTGGTAATGCAACATGCCAGGAGAAGAACCAAGGTGAAAGCTTCACATGTCTGTGCCCAAGGAATTATACTGGCCAGAAGTGCGAGATACTTTTGAGTAAGTATTTGCCTCGAGCTAAAATCTGTAAAATAATATATATATACCAGGCAACCGAAAAACGCCAAGACAATCAAGAAAGCTATATAAAAAAACACTAGTAAACCACTTATTCGAGTCACAAAATTATCAATATTTTTAATTTTCATTTTTAATAGAAAAACACACTTGGGTCCAAGCAAACTCCGCACCAGTGTGCATTGGTACTAAAAATGATACATTTGGTACCTTCAAAGCTCGTTTCACCGGTAAACTGAAAACTATTAAGCTGATCCATCTCTCTGGTGGTGTCGCATGGTCAGGGGGTCCCAACTACGAAGGAAACTGGGGTGACAACTATTCCAAAAAGTTTGAAATTCACGTCACGGATGAAAACAACAACAGAATCGCTCCTCCATCTTACTATCCTTACCGATATACTTTGCCTGGCCAGAACTTCATGAATAAATATCTTGTATTTCCAGATTTTAATCCAGCTCTTGATGTGATACCGGATAAAGTGTTTAGAATTTGGTATAACGAAGACCTTAGAAATTATTCTGAATCCGATAATAGCGGAACAGTTTGTGCTAATATTTATCTGTATTTTATTAAGTACTACTAACATTTACCAACATAAGTCAATCGCATCAATGTTGTTAAGTTGTAAAGACGTCAACAAAGTCTTTTTGGCATATATCATAATTGTATTTTTTGGCAAGAATATTCAACAGAGAGCTCCTTAGACTTCTTTAAAATTTTAATAACATTTAATTCGCTAATTATCTAAAGTTTATAATTGCAATTTTTCCTGGGAATGTTAAAAACCTATTAATACAATTGAATTTGTTGTTGTTTGTAGACAATTTAATGGGATTGACATTATAAGTATATAATTAGCTAAATTGGTTTTCACCGGACAGTGAAACTATAATTAGTAATAATACTTCCTAATAATTATAACAAAAAAGAAAAAAAAAACTACTTCTTCTCCAATGATCCACTTGATTCTATGCATAGTTGTTAGACAGGACAGTCCTCTCTATTAACTATGTTCTATGGTTTTCAAGAACCTTTAGATTCCCATAAATTTAAATGTATATATTCGCAAGATATGATTTAAACAATAAAAAACACATTTTCGTKCGTTTCTGGTGAAATAAACCACTTGGAATATTGGGGAAACACTAAAAAGGCTAAAAATCTCTCGCCGGAGCTTTTCTATATAGCATTTTCGCATTCGTGGTTTTACCGATGAATGGAATAAGCAATAACGTAACATTTCACCAATCASAGAGCGCGTACTATGATAGCTATAATATTAACGAAGAAAAAAATCATCATTTTAAAATAAGTATGGAAATTAACTTTTTTAAATGATTCCATGAATTTCCAAGTTTAAATGAATTGAGTTTTAGGTTTTAGCAAAAAATAAAAATAAAAAAATAAAAAAAAATAAAATAAAAAAAGCAAACAAATTCAAACAAAGAAATAAAAATAAAACAAAATATTTTCCTTATTACTTTAAATTTCACACTGTATTCATGCTAAGTACTGGAATCGAGTGGCAGCTCATCACCTTGAAGTCCGGTAAAACAATTTCTCCTAATGTAAACTTATTAATTTTTAATATCGCAAGCATAAAAGCGCGGTTTTTCTGTTATATACACATATTGTTTATGATCTAGACCTTAAACCATTGATCAACTCATCTTAAGAGAAAGATCGAACATGTTGCAGATCTTAATAGCTTTCTTGATTACGTTGCAAGTTCATTTATCAGGTAAGTTCATCTATTGTGGGAATGATTAATTTTCAGCTTAAGACATCAATGAAGATCAGTTTTGTTTGACAGGATTTGTTGATTACGTAATATATGATATATCACTAGTTGGATTTGACAATAGAGATAGAGGAAACAGTCGATGTCAGCCGTAAATGAAACCCTTAATTGAGATGTACTATGTAAAAAATTATAGCATAACTTATGTAAAAATTTCAAAGTGATAACAGGATTTTGGCTGAAAATTTGCCTTGTTATCTTTGTTATTATAGCTCAAAATTTCGATACTATGGAATTGTGTAAAAGTCATGTAAAGTATAATTTTTACTTAAAATTATTATTATTTTTTCACAATTTGTAATAGTAGTGAGGACGATTATATTTGTTTTTGTGTGAGTTTTTTTTGTTTGCTTTTGTAGGAAAAACTATATTTTGTATTTCAATTGCTTCTACACAAAGTTACAATAATAATATCTCCACAGGATTGAAATCGAAAATGAAGTCATTTTTTTAAGTCTTAAGAAAATATTGTCAAAGTTTTATTTCTCAGAAAAGTATATAAAAAAATGACCGATTTGCTACAAAAACTCATTGATACTAATAATAAACTTAGAAAAATAATATTAAAAGCCACTGATCACACTGAAACCCTATCAATTGCGTTATAAAGCATGTCGCTCCAGGCTTCTGACAAAAAAGTTATACTTATACAGTTGATAATAGGACACATATCCTGACAAAAATGCTCCATCTCTACACTCGACAAAAAAATATAAGCTCACTATATATTTCATTCAATAAGTCTAGGAAAAAGCTGTTGACTCAAATTTTAATAATAATCGAAGTTTTAATTTCCTGTACAAATAAAAAAACTTGCTCAAAGTCGTTATTAATTCATGATGAAAACCAATTCGGAAAGATTTCATTTCAGAGTCTGACATTGATTGCACATTGATGTTCATGTTAGCAAAATCATTTTTTATGATATTTGTTTTATTGGTAGATTTTAGTTCTATGCTAAGACGAAATGTCAGTTTTTAATATTAAATTGGTACTCGTGTCTCTGACTGGGTTATGAGCTCATTGATTGACAACATAGCGGGGTGTGCAATCTACAGACTTGATTGCAAAACCGTAAAAACAAACTACTTGCTCTTCTAGCACGCGAAAAACTCTATGCCTATGTTTTTTAAAAATAATATTATTTTTTGTCATAAAAAGAAAACAAGATAATTACTAACTAAAAGCATTGCAATATCTCATAAACCGTGAAAAGATATTTTCAATTTTGTTTCCAATAGATGCTGACTGTCGAGAGATGCTTTTTTCATCACACGAAGAAACCAATAAAAGTCTCATAAATCACGTGGTAGCAAACATGACGGTGGAGAGTGCTTCCCTTTGTAGAATTCAGTGCTATYGTAACCACGACTGCATCTCATACAACATTGGTCYTTCACATACACAAGGCATGATTCTGTGTCAGCTGAACAGCGCAGATCGACATCAATACCCGCTGGATTTCATCGAGAAGGAGGAGTATACTTATATAGAGGCGAAGGTAACATCCAGATATTTCAATAACCAGGGTGAATAGAAAATTCAAATAATCAAAAATTATATAAAAATTACGCGTCTGAAATCTGTAAATTTCATGGATATATCGTGTTTATAATGTGGTTGAATAAAATTGTGCAATTCGATTGGCTTAAAGAAGTGGTATTTATCCTTAATAGTGGTATTTCAAATTGCGCAACTTTATTCAYTGACAATCATTATATAAACAAATGATAGCATGTTTTGTACGTGGAATTTGGGATAAATACCACTTGTGATATTTAAAAAATGTCACAAATTTCAATCGCTTCGCTCGCAAAAATTTTGTTTGACAATTTTGAAATATGACGCGTGTTATTTTTTCCATATACCACTACAAAACAATAAAAGATAACAATAAAATTTCCTTGCCACTACTACGCAAGTGCGTATATGCGTAAACGCCTCTAMGCGCCTAACTAATTTGATCGACATCATACCATTAGCCAAAATTCTAATTATGCTACGAAAATATTTCGGGATTTGACTATCTTTTTGACCACAATTTACAAGCTGACAACTACTTTTTCAGAATTTCTGCAAGAACGATTCTTGTATMCAGAATGCAACTTGCCAGAGCGGCTTTGGTCCAGAACGATTCCGATGCCTCTGCCCAAAAGGTTTTACAGGATCACATTGCAATACAGGTATTTAAGCACCTGATAGAGCAAACGCAGGAAAACCATGAAATAAAATCAAACTAAATTCCAATA